GTATTTAATTGTAGGATCCGGGCATATTGGCTTTTGACAGATATCGCTAGCTGCATAACGAGCATAAAGGTTGCTTAAATAGTCCAAAACAGTTTCAGCTTTTGAGACTTGATCATCGTCTCTCTTCTTTGAGCAATAAAACTCAATGTACTTGGCCTTGAATCGAGGGTCTAACACAGAAGCAGTTGCCAAAACCAGAAACATATCACTCCAATACTTATTAAACCTCTTCAATATCTGCTTAACTTTCCCACGGAAGTAATCATTATCAGCATTTGCGAGCTCTTGGTTCAACATTACCTTGAGCTCTGCAAGTAGGTGAAAGTAGACATTAGATGTCGAATACTCTCCCTCGAAAAGCACCTTTGCCACTTTATAGATACAACCAGCGAGTTTACAAAAAGTTTCAATCTTTATCCAATCTTCATCAGACGGCTTGTCATATTCATCGTATACCTCATCTTTTGAGAATGCATCCTCGGTTTTGAGATCTACAGCTTGTTGCAGATGAGCCAAGTTAACATTCCAGTAGAATGATGAACAACTTCCCCATCCAACCAACATACGGAGATCCTCAAGCAGCGACGAGCTTAACTCACAAAACAAATCACCAACCATTAACCGGAAAAGATGAGCACAACAATAGATGAGAAAAACCGGTGGGTTGATGGAATGATTCCCTTTCAGCTCAATACATTTCCTGATTGCATCAACTGTTTTCTCATTAAACCCATCATGGTTAGGGAGGAGTATAGTAGAGACCTTGTTATCAATCTCGAAACCGTGAACAGCAGTCCTAAAATGGTAAGGATAATCGTTACCCGACTCGTCGTCAGTAGTGTAGCCGAGAATCCATTTCCTGAGCTTCCAGTTATCATCAATGAAATGAGATGTGATACAAGTGAAATCGTCGTGCAAAACAGGGCCTTTAACATCTCTGGTCCACCCCCACTTAAAGAGAGTGTTAGTCTCCCTTGGAAATTCTTGAGAAATTTCTTAGCTTTCTCTTTACGTTCTTGGTGTATCTCGAGGATTTCTTTCTCAACCGGAGGAACAATAAGAGGTAAAGTCGGGTTCATGAGCCGCATAAGCTTTGCAAAGGAAGGGGTCTTAAGGATATTAGGATTAAGGCCACTACTAATGAACAAGTTATAACCTTGTTTCTCCTTGTCCGCATTTGAAACAAGATTAAACTTCCTCAAAAGGTTCCTCAAAAGCTTCGTCAAAAGCTTCCTCGTCAACAGAATCGTCTAACTTTAGTTTCTTCCTCATATCTGAGCCGGAACTGGAGGCAATATCGCTTTTGTCCATACCAACGGAGAGACGAACAAGGGATAAAGAGGATTAGGGTAGAATCAACCAAGCTAATCTGGACTAGAGCAAAACCCTAGGCTAGAATCAACCAGAAACTTCAAGCGATTAAAGCAGAGTAAGGAGTGAGGGGACGAACAATTGT